CTGAGGCGAAGTAAGGACTGGTTGTGACATGGTTTATACCATAATCATTACAAAATCTATTAAACTCAGCAGAACTGAACTGTGGACCGTTGTCAGTGGTCAACAATTCTGGTATTCCAAATCTAGCAAAACAGTCTTTAAACTTATGAATTGTATTTGCACTTGTTGTTGAACTCATATAAATTATTTCAATGTATCTTGAGAAATAGTCAACTATTACCATATATTGTTTACTTTTAAAAGTTAGTAAATCTGCACCCAAATGTTGCCAAGGACGTTCAGGCATGCTTGTTGGCAAACAATGGTTCTTTTCGTTGAGTTGATCTACTGTTCTGGCAAAATTCACAAGACTGTACTTTTTGTTCCATTTCTTTCAAAATTCCTGGCCACCAAATACTCATGTTGATTCTCTCTCTGCACTTAGTAATTCCTAAATGACCATCATGAATTATATTAATCATTTCTTGACGCATCGACTTAGGTATGACTATTCTACTACAATAAATTAATAATCCATCTATTTCACACAATCTTTCACGAACAGAAAAATAATCAAGAATTTTCGGATTAACGTCTCGTTTAAAGTCTGGCCAACCATTTCGAACGTTTTGTAATACTCTTTGTAAAATTTCATCATTTAAAGTTGCTTTGCGTATATTGTTTAATTGTTTATCAGACGCTGGCCATGAACTAACTATTGGACTAATATAAACTCGAACATCTTCTTCCAACTCATTAGAACTATTATCTAACTGAGGACTTCTTGATAGCGTATCACTTACTATCATTGTTTTTCCTGGAGAATATTCAGCACTTGGATTATATCTCATTAAACGCATCAGCATTCTTTGACAGCGAACTGGGACTTGATCAATGTCTTTTCTATTTATTAAAGGAATGAGGGGTTTATGATCAGTTACTAGTCTATATGAATTAAGACCCCATAAATATTTATCAAATTTTTCACTAGCCCACACCAATGACAAACACTCTTTCTCAATTTCAGCATCAGTTAAAGTTCTAGAACAGAATGCAACAGGTTTCCAGATATCATTATGTTGTTGCATAATCACACCACCTATACCATATTGACTGGCATCAGCACTGACCATTGTCGGTTTCTTGATATCAAATACAGCTAAAACAGGACAAGAGGTTATCAGATTCTTGATCCTTGAAAATGCTTCGTCTTGAGCTTTATCCCATGTCCAACAGATATCTTTTCTCAGCAAATCATTTAAAGGTTGCATAGTATTTGACAAATTTGGAATATAACATCCTAAATAATTTATCATACCAATTATTCTACGTAATTCAGCTACATTATTAGGTTTCTGAAGATTATTTATTGCAGATGCTTTGTCTGGGTGTGGAATGATACCTTCTGGTGTAATTTTGTGTCCAAGAATGTTTATCTCTGTTTGGCGAAATACACATTTCTCTCTATTGAGTTTTAATCCACTTTGTTTAATTCTCTGTAAAGCAGCATCTAAATTCTTATCATGTTCTTCCATTGTAGCACCAACAATAAATATATCAACGCCATTTAAATCAACTAAAAGATTGTTCATAATTCTCATAAAGATTTCCGGAGCACTTGAAATTCCGAATGGAAGCCTTCTAAATCTATAGCGTCCACTAGGTGTTATGAATGTTGTCAACTTGCGACTTTCTTCATCCAAGGGTACTTGATGAAATCCACCGGAAGCATCTAATCTTGAAATATAACGAGCACCACTAAGTTTATGTAAAATATCTTGAAACGTAGGTAAAACATATCTCTCACGTTTGACAGTTTTATTTAATTGTCTGAGATCTACACATAGTCTTACTTGACCCGACGGTTTTAAAACAGGTGTTATTGGAGCACATCAATCTGACGGTTCTGTAACAGGTTCAATAATATCACTATCTACTAATCTCGTGATTTCAGCTTTAGTTTTCTCCTGTAACGGTATAGCAATACGTCTTGCTGTATAAACTGCATAGGGTACAGCATCATCTTTTAAAGTTATATGAACTGGCTCACATTTAAGTAATCCAACAGGTCCAAAAACATCATCATTAACAGTTTCAATTCTCTTAATTAATCCCATTTGTACAGCTACAGTTCGACTTAATAAATTATAAGAAGTTTGTCCTTTAATAACATAAACTGGAAAAGTAAATCTTTCATTTTTATAATTAGTTTCCACTATAAAATATCCTAAGCAAAATATTTCTCCACCAGGACTACTAAGAACTATGTTACTTTGTTTAAGTTTAGGTTTAGGATTCAACTGATTGTAAGATTTTTCACTCATCACTGAGGTATCAGCACCTGAATCAATTTTAAAATTAACAGTTCTCCTCAATATTGGTAACTCTACATGCCATGCAGGAACTCTACCATCTGAACAATTATTTATCTCATTTAGAGTTCCAAGAAACAGCTGGACAGTTGCCAGTTGAACCATGATTTCTGTTACATGCTGAACATTGTTTATGATTAAATGTCCTTTGATGTTGATATTGTCCATGATTATTACTCACTGATTGATGATATGAGTTGGATATTCCCTTGTTGAACACATGTCTAGGTTTATTTGATCTTGACTGTGAACCTGGTCTCCATGCCTTATATGGTCTTCTACTGTCACGCTTTATTGCATCTATAGCCTGATCTTCAATATCTTCTGTATTTATTGGCGATTTATTCTGCGTTTTCACAAGTTCGGTGTTTCTAGCAATTTCTATGGCTCTAGCTAATGTTAAATCATTTGGTTCCATTTGTAATTTAAGTGACACTGATTTATCTTTCAATCCGACTACAAGTCTATCTAAAATTCTTCTATCAATGGAATCTTCAAAATCACAATGTTCACTAGCTTCATATAATCTCCTGATATACGATTCCACTGTTTCATCTTCATTTTGATTCACCAGGTTTATCAAAATGGAATTTCTCCGGTTGCTTCAGCTTTGCCATCCTCTATATTTTATAAGCACTATGAACCAATTGAATGTTCTATCCACAATATAAAATCCTTTTTGAACTAATTTAATGTTCCAAGAACGATGATATGACGCAATCTAATAATGGTCAACTTCTAGCTCCAGCTTCTCCTTTCTTTTATAAAATTAGAAAGTTCACTTCTGACACCATGTCGAATCACCAGAGGCCGACTGGCATTCGCTCATCAGGATGGAATGAAAACAGCTATTGCATTAATAAGATTTACATATAAGACATCAAGCACATGTTACATGACTAGCAAGGATGACTGCAAACTTTATAATACTAATAGTGACCATGCATGCAATCTATAGTCTATATCAATATTCTATTTATAGCTATAGTCTTTATCAAACTAGTGTTCATATTCTCAACACCTACGACCTGCATCGCTGATTACATGCCTGTTGCTGTCCTATTGTAGCATTGCTTAACCACATTGTCACACCATACATTTTAAGCCTTTTATTATTGTCAATCAATATGAGCCCTGATGACAGGCCAATTAAAGTGATACTACGTCTTAGAATTAACATAAAATTTAAGAATTTTAAACTTGGCGAGCCAGTAGATATACCTGGTGTCATAAATAACATAACAGGATCCTTATATAATACGATAAATCCAAAAAACTTAGTAATTATCCATAAATATGCAATTAACCATTGATAAAAGCTTAATATCAAGTTTTATGAAGTTTCCAATTTTACAGGAATTGTGTTGTAACTTTATGACACCAGGTAAGCTAACTGATGAATATATATATACTCATATTGACCATTTCGAGAACTTAAATGTTATGCTAATTCTAAGACAGTACAAAACTAATCACAGAACTCTGACTTAAGAAAAATACTTATTTATTTTCACTCACTCTATAAATAATATATGATAATCATTATTTACAACAACAAAATATGTTCACTGTTAAAATAATGCTCATTACTTATAATCAATATTTATATAGATCAGTGATTATAACAGATATACATGTATAGTTCTACATTCGTGGTTTCGCATTCTTTACAACGGCGTGATAATGTAGACTACATTTTGAGCGTCCTAATGATCGAGAAAACACGCACATTGAAGTTTGTATTCCTACGAGATAAAGTATGCAAAATATGTTAATTGGCATAAACTTACGCGTCAAAAAAGAGACTGCATCGTTTACGTTTTTAAAACCTTTAGAAATACTCTTTTGCAGCATATTTGCTGCATGCATTTCGGCGGTATGCATTTTTAAACAAATAAATTCCAATTCGCAACAAGGTGACACTCTCTCGAAAATATAGTCTGGAGCCTCTCGCGAGACCTCGCCATTCCGGAAAGAAGATGGCCGCCTTGTGACTTGTTTGTGAATAATTAGATTGTAATTTTGTGAGATTCATACACATTTCCAAATGATGAAAAGACAACAAGACCGCGAAAGTCCACCACGGACGAAGAGATCTCGGTCTGTGTATCAGGATGAGGTAATGCGAGATCGGCTGAGCCCTGATTTTGATCGGCGTGACGGTCGCAGTGGTAGTAAATTTGGTGGAAGTTCAAGTAGGGAGGGGAAGCCATATCGGGATTATGACCATGACCTCGATCTCCCTCCACCCAGGAAACAGTACAGAGATGATCGTAGTTTTGATGGTGGCTACAGTCCTCCAAGTGCCATGCCCCCTGTCAGATCTGACCCCAAACCGGCACCTGAATATAGGTCACTATGCGTCAGTTGTATCCCAAGTAAAATCCCAGATCCAGTGCTAAAAGAGGCATTGATCAGAGAATTTACTAAATTTGGAGAAATGAATGTGAAAGTTACTATTTCTGGTGATCAGCGTGTTGCATATGTGAATTTTCGTTACCCTGAAGATGCAAGAAATGCAAGACATGCTAAGGGAAAATTGATCATATTTGAAAGACAAGTGCGAGTGGAACCTGTCATTAAATATTACCGGCGACGGAGTACTAGTCCTGAATTTCAGCGAGATTTTTATAAACCAGGTGGTAGGGGAAGTCCGCCACCTCATTTTAGACAAGGCCCTCCTAGAGGACCCCCTATGCGTGAATATCAACCTAGAGAACAAGTAGTCCCTAAGCATTTATCCCCAGGTGAAGTGCCCAGACGGGCTCCCAATGAAAAGTTTCCTCATCATTTAGACCATGTAGATCCCGAGTTTGACACCAAGGCTACTCGAACATTATTTGTTGGAAATTTAGATGTCAACATCTCGGATCCTGATTTGAAACATATATTCGAAAAGTTTGGTGTTGTTGAAGATATTGATATTAAAAGACCACAAAGAGGACAGGGCAATGCTTATGCTTTTATTAAGTTTATGATTTTAGATGCCGCACATAAAGCTAAGGTTGAAATGTCAGGCAAATATATTGGTAGATTTCAGTGCAAGATTGGTTATGGTAAAGTGACTCCTACAACATGCTTGTGGGTTGGTGGACTTGGTACTCATATCAACTATGACACTTTGGAACGTGAGTTTGATAGATTTGGTGTGATCAATAAAATTGAATGGCCTAGTGGCAAATCCTATGCCTATGTTTTATATGACAGTATTGATGCAGCCTCAGCTGCTTGCCAAGAAATGAGGGGTGCCCAGTTGGCTGGTCAGACAAAGCGACTTAGGGTGGACTTTGCTGATGTGACCCATATTGGATTACCACCTGTTCCACAACCAGAAACGTTTCCACCTCATGATGGTGGATTCAGACCTGAAAAGGTGCCATGGAAAGGTCCTGATGATCGTCGACCAGATTGGAGTGCAGGACCAGATGCCAACCATCCAAGACCAATAGAACATGGGCGTAAGCCAGAATGGGACAGATATAGTGAAGACCGGAATAGACGCCCACGCTCTCCAGATTTTGGTAATGGAACTGGACGTAGAACTCCAGAAAGACGTGAATTCCATGTTGAGCGTGAGGATGGTAGAAGATCAGGTGAATTTGATCGTCCAATTGGAAGAGATCACATGTCTGATTCTGGAATTACCAAGGATATGGGTAGAAATTATGACACTCTTGATGATGTTATTCACAACCTTCCAGTTGCATGGAATGGTGCACTAATATTGAAAAGTAGTGCCTTTGCTGCCAGAATGCATGTTCTGGGTGGTGATGTAACAGTTGTTGACAATTTGATGCGAGATCCCACTACCACAGAATCTCCTGTCCTTAAAATAACTCAAAGATTGCGATTAGATCAACCTAAACTTGATGACGTGTCAAGACGCATTGCCCAATCTGGACCTCATGGTCATTGTATATTATTGGCTCTGCCTAGTACTTTACAAAACTATGATGATTCAAATGGATCAATTCAACAAAGACCTTTGCGTAATTTGATGCAGTATCTGAAACAGAAAGTGGCTGCAGGAGTTATCTCCCTTCCCCCTAATCCTTCACAAGACAAAAATAATGTGGGTGTCCTTCATGCATTTCCACCCTGTCAGTTTGGCTACAACTTTCTGTTAAAACGTTCACCTAATCTGCCACCAGATTATGAAATGTTTAAAGATGACTATTTAGTTGTTGTTGTTGTTTTAGGTGCATCTTAAAACATCAAGCTGGGATTTTGTCATTTTCACAGGGTTTTCATCAAATGTACTTTCATTTTATCAGTTTTTATACACCTTTTATTTTTCTTTCTTTTTTCTGTGGACTTATTGTCACCACACATGTCAATACGAACCAAATATCTCGCAGATTTGCTAGAACCAACAGTTTTTTTTTAAATTTCTGACTAGAAGAAAACAAAAGTAAATTAAGTTTAAATAATTGATGAGGCAGACTATTCTTTTTATATTTCTGCAGTTTTTTAAAAATCCTCAATTGAAGGTTATTGTATTGCTATAATTATTTTACAATTTGTATCAATTGTGCTGAAAATAGATTTAAAATAGATCAAATTTCTTTCATTTTGCAAATTGTCTGAACTTTTACATTGTAGTATGCATAATTTAGAACAATCGTATTAAGCTCTTGTCAATACTTTTGCTGTTAGTTGATAAACGGATATATATAATGTATCTTCTTGGTTCAAATTTGAATAGTTATTTCTTAATTTTTCATTTCAAATATTTTTACATGTATTTACATTTGTTGAAACCCCTGTCTTTTCCTAGACTTATCAAGTCCTAAAATTCATGATTTGTTTTCTAAACTCGTTTTGTATAACTTTTTCAACATTGTTCATAGTCAATACCAAATCTGTTTTGTTTTGCACCTTTTATTTGCTTTTATTATGCAGTATATATATTTTGTTGATCTATGACTTGCCATGAAATCTAGATCAGGGTTGTGATTGGCATTTTATCCAGTTGAATGATTAAAGGTCTTGTTTTATTAAAAATTGACACAAAAATCTGAATTGAGGACATTGAAAACTAAATGAAACAAGATTTTGACTGGACAAATTTAACTGAATCCACAACCATGATCTAGATATTCAAGCCACATTCTGTACACAACAAAAACCTACTAGTATATACAAGGAAAGCAAAAAAAGATATATTATACTAGGAAATTAATCAGTTATGAACGCTCTCAATTTATTTCTAAGCCCCTCCTATAATAATTTTTGCAGTCTATTTGAATATTGTTATCACTTTGATATTTACAAAGTTTGTTGTTTAATTTTTGGCAAACTAAATCCTACTAAGATTATGAATGATAAGAATATGTGTTTTGGGGTTCCCAGTGGAGTAAACTAGAAGATTTTCTATAAAAAGAAATGTTATTTTAAATCATGTACTGTTGATTGTTGTAAAAGTGTTAAAATCTTATCACTTTCTGATTTGTCATGAGGACATAAGATATCTTACATTCTCGTTTTTATACCATGTTTGTAAAACCTTTGTTGGCTTAAGTACACATCTTCACGGTATGTTCAGAATATTCATTTCAGCTGAGAACAAAATAGCTAATGATGATAATACCAGTACCAATAAAGATATTTACCTTGGAGATGTTGTGAAGTGAAATAGTGACAGATATTGAACTGCGTATGTGATGATGTTAAATTTATAAACTGTGTTTGTGGTAAAAATAAGAACTAATTATAGTATGTGCTGCTTCACCAGAAGCTCTGTTTGTGTCAATAGGAACAATCATTTTCTATTGTTGGTGTTTTTTCATGGAAAAACATTTAGGAGTGAAAAATTCTAATATTTGCAGACATTTGGAATTGGTGTATAAAATGTGTTCTGAAAAGAAATGTGAAACACACACTTTATAAGTATATATTCTGTGAAAATGGTATTAAATTGGAAATTTAATTTATTTATGTGCTTAAAAGTGATAAGGAAATCAAATTTTGGGAATATTTGGTTTTTAATCGTGTCCCTTTTATGTGAATAATTTCTATTGTGTTCTCTTACACATTTAAGAAATCAAAGGGTTTTGCTATGCTTATATAAGAGTCGTGATTTTGCACATTTCTTTTTCAAAATTGTGTTTAGTCAGATAATTTTTAGGAAATGATTGGAAATTTTCTACAAAATTTTCGTGCATGAAATTTCAAAAATAGCGAAATACAGTGTATAAGTGGCATTTTTGGGAAGTGTAAATGTAGTTTGTTTTACTGCAGCTGTCTGAGAGTACAGGTAAAATTTGTAGAAAGTGCTTATGTATTTGTGTTGTGTATGTGAATTTTAAATATATACAAAGTTTCATTATATAATGCCCTCTTCTCACTGTAATATAATGGGCTTTCTTAGATGTTTTAGACAAATAAAAAATCTAGATAGGATAATGTGAATGTTTCCAGTTATTTCAGTATTTTATGGCAAACTGTGATTCTCCTGACAATTGTGCTGTGTATCGATACATGTGTCAGATAGCATCATAGTTGTAATGGGTCCAAGTCCCTGTGATATTTCTCTAAATGTGATGCAAGACATTGTGTCATTATGTGCAATTTATTTGAAAATGTGATATGAAATTACATTCCCGTTTTTGGCATATCTAAAACCTCCATGAGGACTGTATTGTCCTCTAATGAATCTGTGATATCTTATATTTGTGATGCAAATTCCATAGTTGATGACTGGTGAGTGTGGTGCATTACATGATATTTAAGACAAATGCCATGTGCATGAATTGACCAACAGTCATGAATTTGTTCATCCTTTTATTGCTATAGGCACATCACACCAAGTGTCTTTCCTTCAGGTGCTATTTGGATTCATCCATCTTCCCAGATCAGTTATTTTTTTCATTAAACATTGTGCAATAATTTGTAAAAATCAAAGCCACCTCAATTTTAACTGTAGAGGATTTTTATATTCTTTGGTTTTTATGTGTTAAATCTAATAGGAAAGCGGAAGAGGAATGGGGGAAAAAAACCACACGAGTCTCAAAAGGAGATCTACATTTAAATGATTATGTGGACAGAAATTGTGATTTCATTGAATCATGGTGTTTTTATTTTGCTACACCACAAGAACAAACTTACTTACAAATCAGTGAACTCACATCTGACCCTCTATTTGAAGATAAAGTGCTGTGGTTTTCGCTCAAAGATCTTGAATCTCATATTTATACTATTTAATTTTTACACATTTTCAAAGAGTACCCATTTACAGTACAGTCATATTTTTTACAATATTTTATTTAATTTTATAAAATTCCAGTTAAACCTGTCTGCTTTTTTCTCTGTCTTTAAAAGGTCGTGAAATACTTCAAGTGAGACAAGAATTGAAAATACCCTTCCCCACAACATTCAATATTATTTTGTAGATACATTTTAAAAGAGCTTTGACATCATGGGATATGGAGGAGGTACACTGTCACCAGCGGAACGGGAGATAAACAAAAAGAATTAGTTGTGGTCTGGTGATTTGTTTGTGCCGTGTGCATATTTAAAGGAGACACAGTGTAATTCTGGTACCAACACGTGTATACATGTAATGCACACCAAGGTTGCGATTACATGTGTACGCAAACTCGATAATAAACGGAACATAGCTGATTATATGTGACAAAGTCTATAGCAGTAATGATGTCTTAACTTTGATTCCCCAGTTTGACACCTTTGTAATTGGCTCTGTCCGTAGCTGTCTGGGCGTCTGCACACGTTAAAAATCGCTCACCACTCAGCCATCCGTTGCGTTTACTTTTTGAGTTCGAGAAGACATAAGCGGACTTTTGGATTTGAAAACAGGATTTTCGATATGATTAGCTCTGATCCGTTTTCTGAGTTTGAGTTTGCATACACACGTAATGTAATCAACTCTGGTCGAGTCATTTGTACTCTTAAACGCCCATTACAATGATGCGTGATCTAAGCCATATCATCATATGGTGACACCATATAGGCCGTATATTATTGAAATACATTCAGAACAATCATGCATGACGAGTCGTGTAGGCCCAAAAGATTATCGCTTTGTCGTCTGGATGTATAATATCAAACCAGTTTTATCATCGGCAAAACAGAATGTTTTCATCCAATATCTCCTCGTGTGTCCACTAGCTGCCTGTCGGTGAAACACAAATCGCCGAACAAAACCGTTTGTGGGTCCTCCGCATAAGGCTAAAATCTACCGCGGGTACAAACAGCATTCGGAAACCTTCGGCAATTTCGTTGAAGCTGAAACTATCTCGGAAACCCTCGACAGATTCTTTAAAGCTGAATCTACCAGATTACCTCGGTAAAATAAGTAATTAGTAGAGCGATGTAACCTATATTCTTTATATTTTTTTGTCTTAGATGTTTACTCAGATATGCTATAAAATAATTAAAATTGGTTTGTTTCGATTATCTTTATGAATCGCTCACTTTGACCCAAATTTCATGAGTAACCAACTCGACAACGGCAGCAAAATGCGTCACCTATTTTCGTGTACAATGTACGATCTATGAATAAGTCGAGAAAAACACGTATGGATAACCAGTAGTATAATTAACTTTTCTTAGTATTTTCTTTAGTAATATTTCATTATAATTAATGAAAATTTCTTCAAAGATAAATTATTTCAAAAAATATATTGACTGACAAAATTAGATAAGTAAAACGTAGGGGTGATTGCTAAAAGTCATTGGACAGTTGGAATTCCGATTACAGCTTCAGATAATAAGGAAATTGGGGCGATAAAAAATTGTGATATTTGGTATAACTGAAATCGGCCATTTTGTTTATGTCAAAGTTTACATTAATAAATTTTACCTTCTTGAAACTACTGGATTCATTCTACTAGCTGATATTGTAGAGAAAACCCATGTTTACTGAAACAAGCAAATGCGGAGGTCACAGATGTAAATTATTTATTATTTCCGGAGATGCACGAAAAATAAGTTAGCCCGAAATTAGGTTACTTGACTGTATATTAGATATAGACAATTCTATTTGAACTTATCGTGATGTAGAAAATTTCCGGAAATAAACTCTGCTTAAAAGTATTTGGTTCATGAGGCTCAAGACCTAAAACACATTCTAAATCTGACATAGTTATACTTTCTTCTTTCGAAACCAAAGGTATAGTATTTAATTTTGCATTTCCGTTGTTATGCATTAAATGTACTTTATGGCTATAGGCTTAAGTGAACAATCAATCTAAATGTAACTATCAAGGGTCATAGAAAGTAGTAGTCTGATTGCAAGCCTTAATGGAACCATTTTACATATTTTATAAGCGGTTTCTAAACATTCATTTTGGTACATTTTATAAAATATAATCCCCATGATCAGCATAAATTACCGACTAAATTTAAGAATATATTGATGAGGTTGGTTAACCTTTATATGAGCTCAGTGCCAAAATCTTATGATATATCTTTTTATGACTTAATATCGCGAAAATATCGCCACGATAATATCGCAACGGTATACCGGTATAGGAAAAATGCCATGTATCGTATAGTCCGGTTTTTTCGATAATATCGTCATATCGTCCAGCTCTAAGCCTATCTCGAGGTTACCTTACAAGTAATTCGAAACATCTGCCTCTATTAGTCTCTAATGGACATTTTGACTGAAGATGCGTTTTTTGTAACATAATATCAAATTACCTTTACAATGATTGTAACCTAAATTAGTGTTGGGCATCACCGTAACTTTCGTTTTGTTAGTATCTTTAGTTAAGTGACTTTGTGACCTTCGAACTTTTGGCTGCGCAAACGGCCGATCTAAATCAGTTTCGTAAAAGAAAACTTTGATGGAAACGTAAACTTGACATACTGGAATATAGGAAGCAAATGATGGTATGACTAAACTACAAAAATATTCATCTTGCCATAGATATCTGGGTTTTGCAGATCGGAGGTATCGAAATAGGGTTAAAACTTGCGCAAGTAACAGGGCTTATTTTTCTGTTTCTACACCAGTTGACATTTGTCCAAATAGCTATCAGAGGCTGGAATACAGACAGTTGTTCCTCGTGTTACAAGATGAGGAACACGGACACATCGTAAAATAAAGCCCGTCAATCCAGGGTTCATCCGTCACTCCGTAAATGAATTTAGTCCGTCATTGGTGTCATTCCAGGACCTCTTTATCCGTCACACCGTTAATTAATCCTTCATTGGCGGAAGTGCACACAATCTTATACAGAGTCATATAGTTGTCGTCCGTTGCAATCACATTACACGGAAAGGGACTGCATGGAACGACAACTATGAGAAAATGCATCTCGCCCTGAGTGACGGATGAAAAAGCATGAACCGACGCCAATTATTATGCACTGACTTCAACAACGCATTGAAATCAGTAACTCAGCTAGTGCATCGATAATGCTTAAAACTTGGGCCTAAATGTACAAAATAATCAATACAAAACTTTGGTAACATTGTCGGGTTGAGCCAAACAATTGACATTGTTGCAGAAAGGAGAGGCCAGTCCTATACTTCAGTGATTTCGCCAAACCAAACAAATGCACCAGAGCGTCACTGATGTCCGTCAAGCCCATTAGACTCCATTTGACTATACATGTATGTCTTATTTGTAGCTGGAAATCAACTCACAGCATTGTAAACATGACTAACTTCAACAGGTAAGCAGTTTAAATTTTGCTACATATTTCTGAACGTCAACAATTTTATCAAATTATCAATTCTTAACAATGATTCTAAATTCTCAAAAAACAAAATCCGTGGTGGAAAATTTGTCAGTAAGTTTATTTATTAAAGGCCAACCCCTCGCAAACTATTTTCTATTTCTTCAGATTAAAAATATTCATATTATATAGTCATACCGCTTCATTGAATTATAATAGCTCGCTACAAAATATTTGTAGCAAAGGGAACGAGATAATTGATAGTAATTCACACACAATTGGTTAAATATTGAAAGTTGTTCGAGAAACTGTGATCCTATCTGCAGTAAGATAGGAAATTACCCTTTTCAGCGCAAGCAGAAACGGAAAGAAAATTATTGTTTCTAAATTCAATATTCAGCCAGGGGTGAATTTTGCTGATGACGTCACCGTGATTTTCAAAGATAGATTAGGGTGGAACTTGCTATACATTATTAATTATTATGGTTGGATATAAAAGTCCAAGAGGTCAAAAATTTCAATGGTATGCCTATATTTTTAAGTGCCTACATTAAGGGGTTTAGGATATAAACCATACCTGTCGACAAGACGTATATGCTGCAAAAGTCAGTACTCACCACGTAAACGTTGGTGTTCACTTAGTCTTATTATTGGCTTCTGTAGTACTTAAATTTCTAGGTTTTGGCAACCGCTCAGTCGCAAAGCTACAGGGATGCAAGACGAAGGGAGTGGGGATTGTCCCCTGAATAAATTCTGACAACCGACCCATTCCATTACTGCAACTAAACATAATTCACCATTGCCCCCCAGACAATACTACTCTACTATTGTACATTCGTGTTGTGCATCTCCGTTTTGTTAGAATCACGTGACCCTGTGATCATTGAACTTTTGGCTGCGCATGCAGTTTTAAATGGCCGATGGAAAGGATGGTATGACTGACCCGCAAAGATATTCATCTTTCCAAATATACCTGGGTTTTGCAGATCCGAGGTATCTAAATAGGTTTAAAACTGTGGAGATGCGGAATGTCCCCATTTAACAGGGCTTATTAGTTCTGTCTCTACACCAGTTGACATCTGTCCAAATAGCTATCAGAGGCTGGAATATAGGCTTCTCCTCTAAGCTCTCTATCAATATTCAAATGATATATTCTTCTATTTAAGGGATGAAATGTGGAATGAATTAGAAGAACGGGGATATTGTGTAGTACCGAATGTCCTCAGCATTGAACAATGTGACCAGTATATTACAGAGTTAAAAGATTGGGCAGCCAACCAAAACGGTTTAGATTTTACCCACAAATCTTCCTTAATGAGTCTGCCAAGAGTTGGTCATCTTGAAACAATATGGAAAATTCGTCTGCAAGCAAAACAAGTTTTTGCAGCTCTTTGGGGAACGGATAAACTGGTTTCCAGTGTTGATAAAATTTCAATGGTGCCTCCACCAGAAGAGGGTACTGGAGATTTTGATTCAGGGTATATTTGGCTACATGTGGATCGAGATGGTCGTAGACGAGGTTTACATGCTGTTCAAAGCGGTATTTATTTGGAAGAAACGTCCCTGACTGACCAGTGTCTTCGAGTAATGGAAGGTTCTGTTAAATTCACAGATGAATTATTTTCAACCCATCCTCAAGCATGTGAAAAAAGTAAGGGAAAAGATCATTATAGACTATCAAATTCCGAAATCGAATGGTATAAATCTAAAGGGTGTGTCATTAAGAAAATTCCAGTACCAAAAGGTTCCATGATTTTATGGGATTCGAGAATCGTTCACGATAACGTTAAAGCAACTTTTGGTCGTCCGAATTCAGATCGTTGGCGGTTTGTTGTATTCGCTTGTATGATGCCGGCTCAGTGGTTGAGTGAGGAAGATTTACAGATTAAAAAGTATGCATATGAAAATATGTTGCTCACTTATATGCCATGTCTGAGTGCAGGAATCCATAAAAAAGATCCTAGTTTGCCAGAGGATTTGTACGCCATCGAGGAACTTCCAGAAATAGCCAAATCAAAAGATGCCAGGCAGCTTGTTGGGATAGAAAAATATGACTTCAACGACGGAAAGCCAAATGGACCAAAAGAATTACCAAAATGGATACCAGAGTAGTAGCCTATAGGCTAAGTGTTAGGCCCGTCATATGTAGGCCTATTAAACAAAAGTTAAGTTGCTAAACGAAATATTATATTGATTTTGATTTGTAGGTAGTTCTCAACCTCAGTTTAATTAATAGTAGTTCCTATTTAATACCTTTTATTTTTATATAGCTTTTATTTTTAAGTTTAAACCAGTAAAATATATTGTAATTTAAACAATGTAAACTACATTGTAGTATAAACAGGTGAACTATCTTGTAGTTTTAAAACACTGAACTATATTGTAGATAAATTCAGTGAACTGTATTGTGAACTGTAGTTTAAAGGTTTTGAATGGTGAAGTGAACTTAATAAAATATTAACACCACCCAATGTTTTAAAACCATTGATCTAACCGTTGATAATAATGCAATTAACACCAACTCACTCTACAGAATATCAACACCTCCAAGGCAAATTAAATACATTATACGTCACAGAAGCTTTGTATTTTATTTGCATATATTCTGTATATCCCACACTTCTCCTGGTGAATAGAATGAATCTTCCACGTGCTTTCACCGGAAGAGAAATCGACGCATCTCTGAACTAAAAGTAGCGCAAGATTTTGGTTTTAATGTAAACAAAATTATATACAGATACAGATGATTTAGGTATGTTTATCCTATACCTGAAAAATAAAAATTTTAAATTTGTTTTAATCTAGTTTTTTTTTCTTACGTGCTATGTCTGTGATACATTCTAAATCAAAAAAAAATTTCATTTGTTTAGTTCGGATACAGATTATATTCTTGTATCCAGTGGAATATTTCCCGTGGAATAAATATGGTATGCAACAGGTGGTATTCAATGGGCGGGGCCAAAGGCTGACATTTAACACATGCGCATTTTACGTCAATAACGCTGAAGCGTCTAGCTAGGTTTGCCTCTGTCGACGTTGAAGAAATAATTAAAACCGAACGAAACAAAAACACAGAAAAAAAAGACTAAACTCGATACCCAATTCTTTCCAGACTTTTCGCATTTTTGCGATATATCGGATCGGTTAAAAAGGTTAACCAATGGCAAACTCGTGGATGTCTTTATGTCACTCGTACTCGTGAAAATCCAATCTTTAAATAACAGAAATGTATCATACAATGTTGATTCGAACTTAGACATTTTATTCGATCACTTATAGATCTAATTGCTACCCTCCAAATTTCAGTTTTAAACCATAAATTCGCTAAGAAAAATGTGCTGATGTAGGCCTAAACTCAAGATATCGACTCGACCTGTAATAACTTATTAAATTTCAATTCTATCAAATTTTCTACTATTATTTCGCTCGCTCCGAAATTTTACAGACTTAAAGATGGGTTCCCTTATTTTCATTTATGAAAATGAAAATGACAATACTTAGATGAATAGAAAGTAGGTGTTCTAATGACTTGGAAAAATACCAGTTTGTCTCACAATTGTCCATAATTAATTCATACTTAGCCAAATTAGAATAATTACCGGCAGAATTCCAACGAGTGGTCGATCAAGAAAGGTTTATCCAGACAGTACATACATGGACATTTATGATTGGTTAAACTCTTAATTATATGCAATAAGAATATAATGATATGATTAAGAATGCATGATAGAGCCTAATTCATTGAAAACACCAATTAAACAGTTTGCTTAATTTAACACTAAAAAATAAGGAAACTCATCTTTAAAGAATCATAAACTGTAATCGTTTACCAATTTTGAAGGGAAAAGATTATAAAATAACAGAGTTAATAATTTCAAATTTGCTTAAACGTCTAAACACCACAATGTACTCAATCAGACGCAAATCGGAGGACAAAATAAGATAATTTGAACAAAAAACGTTTCTATCATGAAGAAACCTTCTGCTACAGTCTGAAATTTAGTTAATTCAGATAACATATAGGCCTAGTCAAAGTTTATTTTTATCAAGGAAACAGAAATATAGAATGCCTTTGAAGCATTATAGCATGAAATTATATACTAAATATAATGCTAATCACACGTAAGAACTGAGAAAAAAAACCAATACAGTTTTCTTTTAATAATTGAGCATGACCATGCCAAAAATCACCCTTCATTTTTCCCTACAAGCTTCTTTCAAAAGATAAAATGAAACTCCATTATTTTATAATTTTTAAATCATATCGATTTTAATGTTCTATTTGTGTCAGGAAATGTTTTTATTGGCACAGTTTTGATTGATTGATTTGATGAAAACAGTTCAGCTACAAGCAAAACATCACATCAAGAAAGCATAGCATAAATACAAAATTTTGCTTTATCACAAACAGTTTAATTAAAATTAGACCTATCTTCCGTTCGTATTTTGTTAGTATCGTTTCAAATGTTTTATTACTTATTAGCTTTGTACGTAACCACTACAGTAAGGTCTAACACTGTCCTTCTTCACTTTTCATTCTGTTAACCTTTGCTTGACCCCTGTTTTAACCAATCACGTGGCTGCCTAAAATAGGTGCATTCCGAGGCATATTAGACTAGCTTATCAAGTCCGCTGGTCTAATACACCTATTTTTCGCATCAAATTATCCCGTCGCTGGAAAGGGCAACCACATGATTGGTTAAAATAGAGGTCAAGCTCAGGTTAACAGAATGAAAAGTCCCATAAACCCTCTATACTTGGCAGATCTGGAAAGCCAAGACTATGTTATCATTGTTCTTTTTTGACCCATGAAAAAACTTTTACACGAGCTGCCCCTGGGGCGGCCCCTAATAGATGTGTGCAACTCCCGTCCCAATCTAATATCGAGGCTAACCAAATCTGTTGCACGTTTTACCCTTTTAAATAAGAAAATTTGAGGTAGGCTACAAACGGGAACCCGCTTTCCTTTTCAGTAAGTGGATTATTTTTTTTGATAAATTGATGTTTTATTGTAAAAGAGAACATTGCAGGTGCGGGTGATATGAGTCGCGTCAATGACATTATAGACGTATGGATATTCCAAGCGATTCCCTTAAATTATACTCGAATAATAATTTTCTTTCGTTAAACATTGGACAATATATGCGTTGAAAATCATCTAGTTTTTTTTTTAAGTCACTTTCAGGATTGCTATTTGAGCATTGGTACCAGACAAAATATAACAATTTTTGTTATCTAATTAATCTTCTTCGGCCAAATCTAGCTCGTTTGTAGGGCCTAGGGGAGACCGGGGCTTGTTGTAACACGGGTAAGTTGTAACAAGGCCCATAATTTCTAACACACAAACTCTACAGTTCTAAAGAGTTAATTCCTCACAGATGATGGTGTAGCTATTAACATATTATCCGAAGAAGGTGGTCAAGAACTCGGTTGTGAATGACGCAAATCATGTCTATCAAATATAAAAGTCAAATTTTAGATGCATTTTAAAGTTGTCCATAACGTGTTAAATCTATGACAGGGTAAAGGAGGCATTATTGGTAGGATATAACATCACTTCTTAAATTAGATGGTGATCTGACGCTGTTCCACTTTTCATAATTGGTGTGTAGGGTATTTAAAATGAACAGGTGGAGTTAATTGTAACATTCTTCGTGGGGTATGTTGTAACCGTCTTAAGGTATGGCTAGATGTTGCGTTTTAAAAAACATCTCATGGTTTAACGTGTAACCAGCTTCTGGTAGCCCTTACAGACATCATTTCGATTACATGTGTTTTATTGTTGTGTTACATTTTACCCCACGGTCTGTTATACGGGGTAAGTTTCAACAAAATTATCAAAACCTTAATTATCTTAAATAGGGATTGCATTTCAGAAGAAGAAGTTCGCGCAAAAGTTAAGTTATAGAATAGTTGAAGCTCTTTCCATAACATAAATCAGTTTCCACGAAATTTTAGTTTCTTTCTGACCATCTCTCAGGAGCAAGCCTTCAAAATAATTTCAAGGAGATTGTGTCAGGTTCAGTTTCTCAGCCTAGGCTGAGGGTGATGATCAGTGCAGTTCACCCTTATATTTGTTATGATAATAAAACTCTCACTCTTTCTCCGACAATATTCAAATGATATATTCTTCTATTTAAGGGATGAAATGTGGAATGAATTAGAAGAACGGGGATATTGTGTAGTACCGAATGTCCTCAGGATTGAACAATGTGACCAGTATATTTCAGAGTTAAAAGATTGGGCAGCCAACCAAAACGGTTTAGATTTTACCCACAAGTTTTCTTTGATGAACCTGCCAAGAGTTGGTCATCTTGAAACAATATGGAAAATTCGTCTGCATGCAAAACAAGTGTTTGCAGCTCTCTGGGGAACGGATAAACTGGTAAACTGGTTTCCAGTTTTATAAATTTTCAATGGCACCTCCACCAGAAGAGGGTACTGGAGATTTTGATTCAGGGTATATTTGGCTTCATGTGGATCGAAATGGTCGTAGACGAGGTTTACATGCTGTACAAGGGGGTGTGTATTTGGAAGAAACGTCCCTGACTGACCAGTGTCTTCGAGTAATGGAAGCTTCTGTTAAATATATGAAAATATGTTACTTACATGTCATATGCCATGTCTGAATGTAAGAATCCATAAAAAAGATTCTAGTTTGCCAGAGGATTTGTACGCCATCGAGGAACTTCCAGAAATAGCCAAATCAAAAGTTGTCAGACAGCTTGTAGGGATAGAAAAATATGACTTCAACGACGGAAAGCCAAACGGGCCAAAAGAATTACCAAAATGGATACCAGAGTAGTAGCCTATAGGCTAAGTGTTATGCCGTCGTATGTAGGCCTATTAAACCCAACAAAAGTTGCTAAATGAAATATTATATTGATTTTGATTTGTGGGTAGTTGCAATGCTTATTCTGTTATGAATTCAATTGATCAATTAGTAGACATTACTAGGTATGTCCAATCACATTGCTAAGTATGTCAATCTAAATCGCATTACTTAGTATGCCAAATCAGATTATGAGTATGTCAAATCACATTTCTAGGAATGTCAAATCACCAACGCATACTCTCAACCTCAGTTTAATTAAAATTAGTTCGTTTTAGGT